ACAAACCGCGACTGGCACAGAAGTCCAACAACTGAACACCGCTCGGGTTCAGATCAGGGGGGCCGCTCTTCCCGATCACCCCTCTCCAAGTGTCACTGGCGTTTCCCACATGGGCGTTGAAGTCCCCCAGGAGAATAACGGAGTCCCCGGGCGGTGCACCGTCCAGTACCCCTCCCAAGGACTCCAAGAAGGCCGGGTACTCTGCACTGCTGTTAGGCCCGTAGGCCGTCACAACAATGAGAGACTTGTCCCCCACCCGGAGGCGGAGGGACGCGACCCTCTCATTCACCGGGGAGAACTCCAACACGTGGCGGCTGAGATGGGGGGCAATGAGTATGGCCACCCCAGCTCGCCGCCTCTCCCCGCGGGAAACTCCAGAAAAGTGGAGCGTCCAACCCCTCTCAAGGAGTTGGGTTCCAGAGCCCAAGCTGTGTGTGGAGGTGAGGCCGACTATCTCTAGTCGGTATCGCTCAACCTCCCCCACAAGCTCGGGCTCCTTCCCCCCCAGTGAGGTGACATTCCACGTCCCAAGAGCCAGCTGTTGTGTGTGCGGACTGGGTCGCCGAGGTTGCCGAGCGCTTGGTCAGTGTTTACCAAAACTCTTTTTGAGGCCCTGTTTAGACGGCATTTCTGTTATTAACATTATCCACACATGTATATTAAAATCCGTTGTAATAACTAAACCATAAAAAAATGAGCATACAACTGAAAGTAACTCGGTAAAATTATCAATAAAACTGTGACATGACTGCGGTGGCTTGTATAGGACAATGAAGAGTATTGGAGGAGATTGTTTTTGTTGTATTTTAAAAGACACATATTCAAATGACGAAAACTTCCCAAGAGACATTCTATGGGAGACAAAGTCATCTCTAAAAACTGTAGCATACCCCAATTTTTAGTTTTCTCGCATTTCAGACTCAAATTTAAAATTTGCTGGTAATGCTTCTATTAAAACGGCAATTCCTGTATTTTGGTCAAGCCATGGACTAGAATTAGATTTTCTTGTGTAAGATGACAAAAGGGGGCATGACTCAACAAAGAGTGCCCTCGACCGACATTAACCAGCCTGAGATAAGTAAACATGCGATTTGGGAATGTCCATCCCAGAGCAGACATCTGAGACATAAAAAGGTCGAATGGAGGACTATCATTAGCCACAAAGATACCAACCTTCAAACTGGGACAATGATCGACCCCAGAACCAAACATCTTTGCCTCCCTCTCCGGCGAGATCAAAGATCAAATCGGGTCTGTACACTCTCTGATAAGGCCTGAAGACATTCCTCCCAGGCAGACTGGCGATCCACCAACGGCGTTCTGACGCCCCCCAGTGGACACGGGACGCTAGCACACCCGAGATGAACATTCGAAACCATCGCTCCGTGAAGTCATTATTCTGATAACCTTTACTGTGCTCTACACGTGTGTACCATTGTCTGTAATGTAAATGCGCTGTGTGTCTGTATATGTGTTATAAACGTCGGTGTCAGCAATGTATATGTCGTTATAATCATGTCTGTCACGAAAGATGTCCAGGGAGGCGCACAAAGATGACGTCATAGACGCGCCCCCTTTGAGAAGCAACAAAAAGCGCATGCAAGCCAAAGATCAATCTCTTGGCATCTTTAATGAACTTAACAACTATTCGGTACGCGTCTCCAATGCGACCTCTGGGCCTGTAACAACGTTGGGCCTCTATCTCCACAAGGACAGTTAGCAACACCCGCTGTCGGAGGCAACGAACTCTTATCAACCAGCCACTTTCCGGCTTCTGGACTGGACTCCTCCATATACGGACGTTTTTCTAGACAGCGTACGTACATGCGGATTTCAAGTTTTGATCCGATCTGCTGGCCTTCGTCTCTCCTGCTCGAACAAAGGAACACGTGGACCCCCCCCCCCTTTCTCTGCAATTCTTCAATACGGACTACGTCAAAGTAAGACTGTTCTAATTGCCACGTTAATGTGTGATTCACGTGATATGTTTAACATCTCTGTTTAATGTGACCAAACCCCTCCTCGTTGATATTTTTCTATTTTCGTATGTAGTCAATAAACCCACGATAAACTTAGTCATCGTCAAAGTGTCCTTTTTATAAATCTTTTTATATCCCTGGCTGATTTCGAACCCAAGACCTATCAGATTGTGAGACTGATCGAGGCAGATTAGTATTGGATCTGTTGTAGATGTTTCAAATTCTACTGGTGCCCTTAAAAATAAATTCAGATCCCTCTGTGTGGAACGGCGAGACTCTGACCTGGAGACTAGCTGCTCCACATTACATATTGCTTACCCTACATATCTGGTGCCCCCTGTGTGAGATCCGCGCAAATATCTAGATTGATAAACTCGTACTCTGATGATTTGACCAAAAACGCTGGCTTAATACCACAGCGCTCCAAGTGCTCACCCCCACCCCCTCACCCCCACGCGTTTACGTGCGCTACCACGCTGCTAGATTCATTAAATAGTCCAATCGAGCTCCCCTGCACCCCGCTTGCGATAAAGCAACCCCTGCATGCAATTTTCTTTTCTTTTAGGCTTAACTAGTGGCCTCAAACCCCGACCAGTATCGGGTACTACGCGACTATAAAGTGAAGCGACTCGTAAGGCCTGCGAGCGCGACGCTTGTCGACGAAGCCGTCATTCCTCACCGAAGGAAGGCGCAAACTACCGTTCCCACGGGAACAAACCCCCCTGTGCCCAAAACACAGGCTTAAAGGGCCCACCCTGTGCGCCAATCCAAGGACACAGGCTGTGGCTCACAGACGCTGTCTCAACTGTGCTTGTGTCTGTTCCTTTGTGTGCTCTTTCACAGATAAAGAGATTTTAAACCACACGCCACGTGCGGCCAGAGCTGAAAAGTCATATATATGTATAAATGCTGTTAATAGCAGCCACTGTATAAGAAGCCGCCATTCCTCGCCGTAGGAAGGCGCAACCTACCCGTTCCCACGGGAACAAACCCCCTGTGCCCAAAACACAGGCTTAAAGACCTTATGACGGGTTTGATTTATTTAGAAATACAGTTTTAATACCATTTTATATTAGAAGAGAACTACTAAAGGTTTCAAAATCAGTTGTTGTTTTCTTTGTCTGATCCCCCCAAATCGAAATAACCCCATAGCAACGCCCTTAGAAACGAAAAAACTTCACAGCCCTTGGTGACGTCAGAGTGGGTACGTTTCAACGCTGTAAGTTGTTTATAATTTGGTAATCGTTCTTTTTTCGCGGATATTCAAGATCACAAGGTTGTGTACAGCGAGTATGAGATTAGTACTAGAATGTAACATTTTGTTGTCACTGAGATAGTCCAGTGGTTGTGTCGATGGACTGTCAACCCAGATACTTGGGTTCAAATCCCACCTCAGACACTTTTTCACACTCAAAACGGCAATTTATGTGTAGTGAGCAATTGTCACCTGTAGAGGGCAGTATTGTGTTGGGCATCAGTGGAGAGAAGAGAGAAAAGGCAGTCCTGTGTAAAGGGGCAGGCGGACACGCCTAGTAGGAAGCTAAGGTTGGGATGGAGGTTTTGGATGTACAGGGCCTTGAAGTTTTTATCTTCCTCCATCCCTTCGTAGTTTTGGTTGCCGAAGTAAGCCTGTCTTAATCTGTGGTAGTAGCAGTCCGCAAGCTCGTTGTGAGTTTGTTTGACTGCCATGGCTGCCGTGAGGGTCCCGGAGGCACCGAAGTCTGAGTATTCTGCCAGGATGGTTTGCAGAGCTCGTTGTAGTCATGTTTTGTGGCTCTTGGTTGCCTTTCGATGAAGTTATTCACTTCTCCATTGGACGTGAGTCTTATTTAAGAATATTTTGTCTCCTGGAGATGCGTTTGGTATGCGGTCAGTGTAGAAGTCAATGTCACGGAGGTATGCTCGGGTGTCCGTAGGCATGCCGGGCCAGGGGTCAAAGCGGTTTATGTGTCTGATTATGCGGTCAAATTCACGGTCGGATGGGCCGAGCAGGTCTCGACCGATAGGGGGTGTGTAATGGGTGTTGCGTCCTCTATAGTCCGGGTAGTTACGTTGATATAGGGCTAAGTCTTGGTGTGCGCCAGGGGGAGTGCCGTGGGGGTGTCTTCCATGGTTAGGGAGGTCCCCGGCGTTCTCATGGCGGGTTGCTGGCCATTGTGTCGCAGCGTATGCAGACGGTCCAGACTTAGGGTACGGTACGTCGTGTGGTCTGGGTAGCATGTTCTGATGTGCGCCAGGGGGGTCGTTGTAGGGTTGCCTTCCATGTTGAGGTTGGGCCCTCTCGTCCCAATGGCGGTTGTCTGAACTGTGTCTCGTATGGACGTCAGGTGGTCTGGGTAGCATGTTCTGACGTGCGCCAGGGGGGTCGTTGTAGGGTTGCCTTCCATGTTCAGGTTGGGCCCTCTCGTCCCAATGGCGGTAGTCTGAACTGTGTCTCGTATGGACGTCAGGTGGTCTGGGTAGCATGTTCTGATGTGCGCCAGTGGAGTCGTTGTAGGGTTGCCTTCCATGTTCGGGTTGGGCCCTCTCGTCCCAATGGCGGTTGACTGAACTGTGTCTCGTATGGACGTCAGGTGGTCCAGAGTCATGGGTTGGGTAGTCATGTTGTCTTTTTAGCATGTCCATGTGTGTGCCAGGAGGGGTGCCGTGGGGGTCCCTTCCATGGTTGTGGTGGTCCCCACTGTCCCATTGGCGGGTTGTTGGCCATTGTTCGGCGTGGTCCGTGGTTGGTCCGGTTCTATGGTTCTGGTAGTCATGTGTTTCGTGTTTCATGTCTCGATGTGCTACGGCGGGTCTGGCATGGGGTTGCCCTGGCAACACACACCGGGCACTACAACAGGTAGAAAGGACAAACTGGACGGTGATTGAAATACTAAAGTATGTATCCACAAACCAGAGGGACTGGGACGTGAAACTCCCCCTGGTCCTGATGGCAATCCGAGCCACACCCCACCGCTCCACGGGAGTTTCCCCATTCGAAATGATGACGGGTAGGCAAATGACGCTCCCGCTGCATCTGCTCTACCAACCGGGTGAGGCGAACATCGCCACGGCCTACACCACACACCAATACAGGACTGATCCGCAGGACCACCTGAAACAGACGTTTGCATTTGCACAGAAGAAACTGGGAGACAGCGCCGAAGGACGCAAAGCCTACTACGATCAAAAGGCGTCTCACAACGAACTCCAGGTTGGAGACCAGGTATGGTATTACATCTCTGCACATTCCCCAGGACAAGTGGGGACCGGCCCCACCAGACTACGCCGGAAACTGCTACCCCGCTGGTCGGGACCATACAGGGTGGTAAAGAAACTCTCAACCGCAGTGTACCAGATCGAGATCACAAAAAGTAGGAGAGAACCCACCCTCAAATGGGTTCGTCACAACCAAATCAAACCACACAAACAAAGCCCCATGGGACAGGTAGGGCACACTACAAACCCCAGTTAAGAACACACCACGTGACCTCGAACACTATTAGTCCAGCAAACCACTAACCTTCTTCTTGGCTGCACTAATCGAACCTCTCTCTCTCTCTCTCTCTCCGTCTAACTCCTAACCGCTGCCTCACACTTTGCAGAACATGTGGCCCACTCTCCTCCTTGTGCTGACCTGCATAGTGTGCCTCGGCACCCCAGAAATGATTGAGACCAGACCAGCCGCCGCAGTCATGGCCTTTGCCCTGAACAAACGGGTTAGACAACTCCGCGATAACTTTAAAAGGTGCACGGAGGCAATGACGAGACAAATCCGTAGACGACCAAACCGGGGCGACAGCGCCGTCGAGCGTGGCAATTTAAGCCGGCGCCTCAGAGTCAACGACTCAGAGTACGAGGACCTTCAGAGCCACCCACTCGAGACGGTCACTCTTTCTATCGCAGAAGGTGAACCAAGGGCCTAAAACCCACCAGGAGTCACCAGCTCAGACCCAAACATATCTACCTCGATACCCAATCTGTCTCCCAGACAATCATACCTGTCATCCCTGTTTATATATAGGAATCCCACTCGTAACTAAAAGCCCCACTTGCTACGTGGTATACTTTTGTAATCCTTGCACTCCCCTTATAGAACGAGCAAGATGGGAACCCCTCACCAGCGAGTGCCTTAATGACTCGCCCAATCGCTGCCAAAACAGCCAACCCTTTTTGATTGTTGGAATTTTTCTTTATATTTTTGTATTCTAGTTCCCTAGAAATAGAAACTCTTGCTCTCAGCTTGGAACTTTGAGTCTTCCAGACCAAGAGACCCAGGAGCCAGGTGCACCGACCCAAATCCTAGAGTTCACTGCCCCTGTAGCTCACTCCGTGAACCCCTGATCCCAGTTAGAACTAGCCTGCAGGGCCAGGACACGCCTTAGAGAAAACCCGGCCTCAACGAACCAAGCCAGAGGCCCGAGATCCAACCGCCACGAGCCTGGCCCCAGTGAGGCGTTTGCGAACTATTGAGTCACATTAAGGCGAGAATGTTCTAACATGGATCACACACTAACACCCGAACAGGCGAGACGACCGCCCGAGGACACCCGCCCGAGGACACCCGCCCGGCATATCCGACATGACATGCACCTTGTCGGAAGGTGCATCTCTGCCGTGGGGGGGGGGGGGGGGGGGTGTGTAAGATGACAAAAGGGGGCATGACTCAACAAAGAGCGCCCTCGACCGACATTAACCAGCCTGAGATAAGTAAACATGCGATTTGGGAATGTCCATCCCAGAGCAGACATCTGAGACATAAAAAGGTCGAATGGAGGACTATCATTAGTCACAAAGATACCAACCTTCAAACTGGGACAATGATCGACCCCAGAACCAAACATCTTTGCCTCCCTCTCCGGCGAGATCAAAGATCAAATCGGGTCTGTACACTCTCTCTGATAAGGCCTGAAGACATTCCTCCCAGGCAGACTGGCGATCCACCAACGGCGTTCTGACGCCCCCCAGTGGACACGGGACGCTAGCACACCCGAGATGAACATTCAAAACCATCGCTCCGTGAAGTCATTATTCTGATAACCTTTACTGTGCTCTACACGTGTGTACCATTGTCTGTAATGTAAATGCGCTGTGTGTCTGTATATGTGTTATAAACGTCGGTGTCAGCAATGTATATGTCGTTATAATCATGTCTGTCACGAAAGATGTCTAGGGAGGCGCACAAAGATGACGTCATAGACGCGCCCCCTTTGAGAAGCAACAAAAAGCGCATGCAAGCCAAAGATCGATCTCTTGGCATCTTTAATGAACTTAACAACTATTCGGTACGCGTCTCCAACGCGACCTCTGGGCCTGTAACAACGTTGGGCCTCTATCTCCACAAGGACAGCTAGCAACACCCGCTGTCGGAGGCAACGAACTCTCATCAACCAGCCACTTTCCGGCTTCTGGACTGGACTCCTCCATATACGGACGTTTTTCTAGACAGCGTACGTACATGCGGATTTCAAGTTTTGATCCGATCTGCTGGCCTTCGTCTCTCCTGCTCAAACAAAGGAACACGTGGACCCCCCCCCTTTTCTCTGCAATTCTTCAATACGGACTACGTCAAAGTAAGACTGTTCTAATTGCCACGTTAATGTGTGATTCACGTGATATGTTTAACATCTCTGTTTAATGTGACCAAAACCCTCCTCGTTGATATTTTTCTATTTTCGTATGTAGTCAATAAACCCACGATAAACTTAGTCATCGTCAAAGTGTCCTTTTTATAAATCTTTTCATATCCCTGGCTGATTTCGAACCCAAGACCTATCAGATTGTGAGACTGATCGAGGCAGATTAGTATTGGATCTGTTGTAGATGTTTCAAATTCTACTGGTGCCCTTAAAAATAAATTCAGATCCCTCTGTGTGGAACGGCGAGACTCTGACCTGGAGACTAGCTGCTCCACATTACATATTTCTTACCCTACACTTGAATAGACTGACTATCTCCAGATGTCTGTCTGTTATGTTTTCTCTGTGACACAGGTTGGCCCCAGCTGCGTCTCTCCTCTAACTCGACTGCCAGCGGCTGCGAAGCAGAGACCCTGTGTTTCCTAGTATTTAGAGATAAGAGGGGAAGGGGAAAGCAGGGGAGAAGGATGGAGAGGTGGGTGGTTTTGGGCAATAAATAGGGTTTGGTGTTGGACAAGGGGGAGGTGGATGGGTTTTTGGTGATGTGTTAGGGGAGGGGTGGGCTGAGGTTTTTGGTATTGGAGAAGGAGGTGAAGGTTTATGGGTATGGGCTCAAGGGAGGAGTGGGCTGAGATGGATTTTGTGGGTGAATCAGGGGAGTTGGATGCCCTTTGGAGGTACGTATGTGGAGTAGACAAGTCTTCATTGCCAATTTTATTATGCCTGCCAAGTGTTCAGGTAATTCTAGTAGTGAGGACAGGGATGGAAAACAAAGGGACCCATAGTACAGGCCTGTCTGTTGTAGCCTGGAGCGATGGTGGGGAAGGCCAACACTTTTACTCTGTAATTGTTCAAATGCCTATTCCAGAACAGATTAAAGTTCTCAAAGGAGGCAAGTCCTCTTCATGAACACCTTTTGAATAGGAATGTATTCAGTTGTTGCACTTGAGGAAGGACCTCTCCACCCACTTGGAGACGGCAAGGCACCTTTTACGGTCGAGAACCATGACCGAAAATTTGGATGTGTTTATCCATAAGTTTGTACTGTTTCATGAATGATTTTATATTGAGACTATGATTATATATTTTATAACTGAGACGACAAAAAAGAGAGGCTCAAACACAGACACAGCCAGAAAGAAGTTTAATGTCCAAAAAACACAAAATACATCCAAAAACCGGCAGAAGGAGCGAGACACAGGCAGAATACACTTTACATAACAATTTTTTGTTGTGGACAGAGAAAGGAATACAGTTTTGTGCCAATGTTTTGCCAATGGAAAGGGGTCATGCCGCTGCCTATGGACCAATGGCTCTAAGTGTTAGTTATTATTACAATGCCTGTGATCGAACTGTTTAAGTCGCTCTAAAGGGTCTGGTCTCTAAATTCTTGTTGCCAATTATCTTTGTAAAATCCTCCACGCCAATTGCTATTGTGACTTAGAACGATACACCGTTCAATTGAACTTAGTTGATCTTTAGGTTAAGGTTAGAACATATTTGCTGGTTAATGTCCGGTTTATAACTTCTTTTGTGCATTTTGTAATACATTTGGCATATTTTCTTTTCAGTGTTAAACACATGAACAGAAGGAGACAGAGCCCACAGAGTTTTACTCAAACCCAGGACACAGAGACACTGAGGAGCCTGCAGTCCGGAGCCTAAACCCAGGGACCAGAGACTGAGAGAAGGTGGAGCTGAAGGTGTGGAGGTGGATCAGTCTCTCAGAGGAGACTGTGTAGAAGGACAGAGACCCAGCAGGACAGTCCACAAAGACTCCCACTGTCCCAGAGGAGGAGGTCCAGGACTGACTGAGGGGGGTTTTATTGTTATTATGAAGAACGGAGAAACCATCTTCAGAGCAGCTCAGACTCCAGGACTGAGGATTTGATCCAAACCAACTGTCAACACTGCCTCCTTTTCTCTGGATGTTTCTGTAACTCACTGATATATAAACCCATCCGCTCCACTGGACCTCCCAGTACCAGCGATCAGTCAGACCAGATGAACACATGATCTGAGGCAGTGAGTCAAATCTGTCCTGGTGCTCTGGATAGAGCTGCTGCTCCCTCACATGTGTCACCTTCTTATTGTTGTCAGACAGTTTGAGTTTTCTGTGAGCGGAGTTTGGATCCAGAGTGAGATCACAGAGATCTGAGAACACAACACAGCAGCAGTTAGAGATGAAGACTGAGACCCAGACCAAGATCAGACCATGACCAAGATCAGACCATGACAAGGAGCAAGACCCACTCTGAACGTTGTCTCTTTTCTTTTTCTTAGTTTTCACAATTTTCTTGTTTTTGATTTAGTTTCTTAAGTTTGCTAAAGTCTATATACATACGAGCTAAAGTAGGAATGATGTTACACATTTGAGTGTCAGAGTGAGACCTCTTCTCCCGTGAACATTTCCTCAATTTTCTCTGTTGGCAACTACAAACAGGCTCTGAATGTGCCTCATAACCCTCTACATGTCTCTGCAAACCCTCTTTGAGGCTTTGTGAAAGAGTTTGGCTTAAATCCTGGGGACTCCGGGGGGTGGCAAACTGTCCAGTGCCTCAGTAGGGGGGAACAGTGCTCTGCCAACATCCCATATAGTGCATGAATAATGCATTGTTTTATATCGTGTTTTTCAGGACCCTTCGTCATAATTCGTTCACTCGGAGCGATTTCCTAGTTTGTGACTTCTTGTTACTCACATGGCAATAAAATAATTCTGATTCTGACAGAGGCAAGGTAAACATTCTGTGCCACCAGCCCCTCCCACCACCACCAACCATTCTTGCACATATCAGTTTTATTCTAATGTGGGTGAGGTGTCTTTACTGAGGACACAACCACAGTTTAATGTTCCAAAAGGTCTCCCGTCACAGTGCCAACAAGGCCCTACCCTGCTTGGCTTCAAACAAGCTTCAAGCTTCAAAGCATGTGTCTTTCACATGCAGGTATGGTCAAAATTGCCTCAATGGCTCCTTTTTATCAGTGGAGAGGGCAACAGAACAGGCCCAGAGGCCACATTTGGCCCGCGGACCACAGGTTGGTCATGCCTGACATTGTGAGTTCAGTTTGATTTGTGCTGAAACCTGCATGAAGCAGGAGACCCATGTGTCCAGAGTTTTCTCCTGCTGACGCTGACTCTGCAGCTGCACAGTCATACATCCTGAGGACATTGTGTCTGTGCCAGAAGGGTCTGATGTTAGTGGGGATGGAGCTAAACACAGCTGCGGGTCAGTGACTGAAGAACAGACTTGGTACGTGAAGCAAACAGAGAAAGATGTTTTTTCTGCACATTCAGCGGCATATTGACTTCAACCCACAGCTCTAGTCCTTGTCACTGCTGTCTTTGTTTTTAATTCATTATTTATTTAAATTCCATTCTTATTGGTTCAGAGCGACGCAAGCTCTCTCCAGTTCTTCTAAAACATAAGCAACAGGCACACGCTGGATTCTAAACAAATATGTTTCTGTGGCTGTTTTTTTCCATTCTCATTCCTCCATTTCCATTTTCCCTAAACTCAGCTCCATAAGCAGTGACAGATCCAGGAGAAGCTTTTAATGAAGTCACTTCAACACTTACACTTTCTGGGTCCTGGAGTTAACCTCTGAGCTCCAGAATGCTCCAGTCTGAAACACATTAAATTTCATTAAAGGAATAGTTCACCGTTTTTACATACTGACATATGTTCTTACCTTACCTTAGACTAGTTAATACGTACCTGTCTGGTCTTAGTCCGTGCGCTCTGTCATGCAAACGGAGCAAAAACGGGAGCACAACCGCAGCCTCCTCTGGTCACTGTGTAGCACCAAAAGGTAGCTCCCGCTAGAAGCTACCAAACTCTTCCAAGTGTTCCCTATTAAATGTATATAGTTACGTGACGTGTTACACTGCAAAGTATAGTAACACAGAAATGTAACAGTCGATTTTCTCAGCGGATAAAACGGGTACTATATTGTGAGGCGTAGTAATCTGAGGTGCGCTACGTCCGCGCACTAACTTCTCTCCGGAGACTTCTCTCTCGCTCACTTCCGTCAATAGAAGCAGCGTGACTTGTAGTACACACAGTAGCAGCGAGAGAGAAGTCTCCGGAGAGAAGTTAGTGCGCGGACGTAGCGCTCCTAACTTCTCTGCGCACTAACTTCTCTCCGGAGACTTCTCTCTCGCTGCTACTGTGTGTACTACAAGTCACGCTGCTTCTATTGACGGAAGTGAGCGAGAGAGAAGTCTCCGGAGAGAAGTTAGTGCGCGGACGTAGCGCACCTCAGATTACTACGCCTCACAATATAGTACCCGTTTTATCCGCTGAGAAAATCGACTGTTACATTTCTGTGTTACTATACTTTGCAGTGTAACACGTCACGTAACTATATACATTTAATAGGGAACACTTGGAAGAGTTTGGTAGCTTCTAGCGGGAGCTACCTTTTGGGTACTATACAGTGACCAGAGGAGGCTGCGGTTGTGCTCCCGTTTTTGCTCCGTTTGCATGACAGAGTGCACGGACTAGGACCAGACAGGTACATATTAACTAGTCTAAGGTAAGGTAAGAACATATGTCAGTATGTAAAAACGGTGAACTATTCCTTTAAAACATCTGTCAAACTAAGGCCATGTATTCTTTGATGTGTGATGTCACATGTCTCTTCTGTCCTTACAGACCATACCTGAGAGTGTGCAGGGTGCAGTGGGGGTCCTCCAGCAGAGCAGACAGCAGCTTTACTCCTGTGTCTCCTGGATGGTTGTAGCTCAGGTCCAGTTCTTTCAGATGGGAGGGGTTGGACCTCAGAGCTGAGGCCAGAGAAGCACAGCCTTCCTCTGACACCAAACAACCTGACAGACTGAACACACACATTATTGTAATCACTCAGTTCATGACTAACATTCAACCCAAATGAGACACAGAACAAGTCCTTTATCTTTAACTGTCTTTGTCCACTGGTATTGTCCAAAACAATGACCAACAGGTTCTGTAAGAACAGTGAATCATATGAACCCTCTGACCTGAGCGTCTCCAGTTTACAGTGAGGACTCTTCAGTCCATCAGACAACAGCTTCAGCCCTGAGTCCTTCAAGTTGTTGTGACTCAGGTCCAGGACTCTCAGACTAGAGGACTGGGAGCTGAGGACTGAGGCCAGAGCTCCACAGCTTCTGTCTGACAGCTCACAGCGGCTCAGTCTGGAGACAGAAAACATGGTTATGTAGAAGTTGAATGAATCCTGTGTTAAACAAAGGTTACTCACAGAGCTTTGGTGCAGGCCTTGACCACTGGCAGCAGCCTCAGGAGAGCCTCCTCTGAAGCACAGTATCTGCTCAGATCAAACTGGTCCAGATCTTCTTCTGATGACAGTAAGATGAAGGCCAGAGCTGACCACTGAGCGGGAGACAGTCCTTCAGACAGACGTCCTGACCTCAGGATCTGTTGGATCTGCTCCACCAGAGAAGAATCATTCAGTTCATTCAGACAGTGGAGCAGACTGATGCTCCTCTCTGCAGACACATCCTTACTCAGCTTCTTCTTAATGTACTCTGCTGTCTTCTGATTGGTCTTGGAGCTACTTCCTGTCTGTGTCAGCAGACCGTTTAGAAGGCTCTGATTGGTCGACACTGAAAGGCCCAGGAGGAAGCGGAGGAGCAGGTCCAGGTGTCCGTTTGGACTCAGTAAGGCCTGGTCCACAGCTGCCCGGTAGAAGTTGAGTGGATCTTTTTTGATTGTCATGGATGTTTTTGACTTTCGCTCTACCAGCAGATTAATTCCAGTGTTGATGAAGGTCAGATGGACATGAAGAGCAGCCAGAAACTCCTGCACACTCAGATGGATGAAGAAGTAGACCTTGTCCTGGTACAGGCCTGGCTCCTCTCTAAAGACCTGTGTGAAGACTCCGGAGTACACTGAGGCGGCTGCAGCGACCAGCCCACACTCGCTCAGGTCACAGTCGTAGAAGATCAGGTTTCCTCTCTGCAGCTGCTCAAAGGCCAGTTTTCCCAGAGACTCCACCATCTTCTTGGTGCCTGGACTCCAGCGTGGGTTTGTCTCTGATCCTTCTTTATACTTGATGTTATTGAATTTGGCCTGAACCACCAGGAAGTGGCTGTACATCTGCGTCAGGCTCTTGGGAAGCTCTCCTCTTTCTCTGCTCTTCAACACATGCTCCAGGACTGTGGCAGTGATCCAGCAGAAGACTGGCATGTGGCACATGAAGTGGAGGCTTCTGGACGTCTTGATGTGGGAGAGGACTGTGTCGGCCTGTTCTCCGAACCTCCTCTTGAAGTACTGCTCCTTCTGAGAGTCGCTGAACCCTCGGACCTCTGTCACCATGGAGACGCACTCTGCAGGGATCTGATTGGCCGCCGCGGGGCGTGTGGTGATCCAGAGGCGAGCGGAGGGAAGCAGGCTCCCCCTGATGAGGTTCACCAGCAGCAGGTCCAGAGAGACGGACTCTTTGGGGTCTGAGAGGACACGAGAGCTGCTGAAGTCCAGAGGAAGTCTGCACTCGTCCAGACCGTCAAAGATGAAGAGCACCTGGAGGTCTTCAAAGCTGCAGAGATCTGCTTGTGTTTGACTAAAGAAGTGATGAACAAGTGACACCAGGCTGAAGCTTGTGTCCTTCAGAACATTGAGAGTTCTGAAAGTGAAGGGGAACAGCAGCTGGAGGTCCTGGTTGGCTTTGCCTTCAGCCCAGTCCAGACTGAACTTCTGAGTGAGCACTGTTTTCCCGATGCCAGCCACTCCCTTTGTCAGCACCGTTCTGATTGGTTTGTCTGAGTGGGCCGGGTCTTTAAAGATGTCTTCACATGGGATGGTTCTCTCTGCTGGTCTCCTGGAGGCTGCTTCCATGTGTCGGACCTCATGTTCCTGGTTGACCTCTGAAGAGCCTCCCTCTGTGATGTAGAGCTCGGTGTAGATCTGATTCAAGGGAATGGGAGCTCCTGCTTTCGCGGTGCCCTCAAACACACACTCAAACCTCTGCTGCAGATCCACCTTCTGTTTACGTGGAAAACCACCTAAAGAAACCTCTGAATGAAGACAACAGAGACAGGAGTCAGAGAAGATCACATGACCATCATGGACGTGTTCTTACTGCTCCACAGACGCTCAGCCAGCTCCTTCTGATCCGTACTCCTCAGGAAGTTCAGTGTGATCTTCAGGAGCGCCTCACTGCTGCTCCTCTGCTCCTCATCCTCCACAGGCTCTAAGCATTCTGGATCATCTGTGCTCAGAAGCCTCTGGAGCTTCTGGAGCTCCTCATGGACAAAAGAGAAGAGTTCCTCCTCACGACGCTGCACACACACATAAACAACACCCTTGCTCTCAATAACTGTCTCCATCCGTGAGGAGCACATGTCTGGTGTTAAAGTCTTGAGTTTAATTAAGTCTGATTTGGGTTCAGGCACTTTGCTCGCCATCCGGACCCACCTGCTCTGCAGTGTGAACCACACACGCTCCACTCACTTCTACCACATATGGAACACATCAGCTTCACATTTGTGTGAAACTAGTCCTTCAGCTGAACATCTCTGTTGGTATGGATTTTACCCATTATCTGATGTCCATGTCCCCTCTCCATGGGGGCTGGCTTGGTCCTGGCTGACCCCCCTGACCAATCCAGTGGAACCTGAGAGTGACTCCACAGCAGTATATAGAGAGCTGGGATGGACTGGTTTAGGCTCTTGGTCTGTGTCAACTCCCTAAGCAGCCTAATGCTGAGGCCCAGAGCCTCCAGGGTTCTCTCTCTCTCTCTCTCCAACCATCTCTCCTTGGGGTATGATATTTTCTGTTTTGTCTGTGTGTATTTTGTTATAATTCAGTGTCATTAAATGTCCTCTTTTATATCTATTGGTTTGGGCCTAGTCTGTACAGCAACGATTACATTTTCTTGATAACAGAATGGCGTCACGTTGGAGGCACACAGTGCTTAAACTTGTGTAGGGGGGAAATTTAATTGTTGCTTTACGGTTGGCTTTAGTGGTACTTACTGTAGGTTACTGCTGTGGGTGCTGGACATCTTACAGATGTGTATTTGGCTGTATCTGCGCTTCACCTGAGGACTGGAGGTGAAGCCACCTGTACCGTTACGAGAGTGTACGGGCAGTTTAAAAACACTGGTGTACGCTGAGGTGCGGATCAGTATACATTTTAGAGGTAAAAGCTACAAAAGGAATGTTATAAGGGATCAGACAGCCTTAGGAGTTAGATTGGATAAGAAAGAGGATATGTGATTGGAACACTTTGAACATAATTTGTATTTTTGTGGTTTTATTTTGAGTTATGTTACAATACAATAGAATGTATTCTTGTATAGCCCTAGGTCACAACAGAAGTCATCTCAGAGACTTAACAAAACCATTGAAATCACCAACACAGGTCAGAGAATCAACAGTTAAAACACATGAAGAATACAGTGCCTTGCGAAAGTATTCGGCCCCCTTGAACCTTTCAACATTTTGCCACATTTCAGTCTTCAAACCTAAATATATAAAATTTTAATTTTTTGTCATGAATCAACAACAAGTGGGACACAATCGTGAAGTGGAACGAAATTTATTGGATAATTTAAACTTTTTTAACAAATAAAAAACTGAAAAGTGGGGCGTGCAATATTATTGGGCCCCTTTACTTTAAGTGCAGCAAACTCAGTCCAGAAGTTCAGTGAGGATCTTTGAATGATCCAATGTTGTCCTAAATGACTGATGATGATAAATAGAATGCTCCTGTGTGTAATCAAGTCTCCGTATAAATGCACCTGCTCTTTGATAGTCTCAGGGTTCTGTTTAAAGCACAGAGAGAACCATGAAGACAAAGGAACACACCAGGCAGGTCCGAGATACTGTTGTGGAGAAGTTTAAAGCTGGATTTGGATACAAAAAGATTTCCCAAGCTTTAAACATCTCAAGGAGCACTGTGCAAGCAATTATATTGAAATGGAAGGAGTATCAGACCACTGCAAATCTACCAAGACCCGGCCGTCCCTCCAAACTTTCATCTCAAACAAGGAGAAGACTGATCAGAGATGTAGCCAAGAGGCCCATGATCACTCCGGATGAACTGCAGATAACTACAGCTGAGGTGGGAGAGTCTGTCCATAGGACAACAATCAGTCGTGCACTGCACAAATCTGGCCTTTATGGAAGAGTGGCAAGAAGAAAGCCGTTTCTCAAAGATATCCATAAAAAGTCTCGTTTAAAGTTTGCCACAAGCCACCTGGGAGACACACCAAACATGTGGAAGAAGGTGCTCTGGTCAGATGAAACCAAAATCAAACTTTTTGGCCACAATGCAAAACGATATGTTTGGCGTAAAAGCAACACAGCTCATCACCCTGAACACACCATCCCCACCTCAGCTGTAGTTATCTGCAGTTCATCCAGAGTGATCATGGGCCTCTTGGTTGCATCTCTGATCAGTCTTCTCCTTGTTTGAGATGAAAGTTTGGAGGGACGGCCGGGTCTTGGTAGATTTGCAGTGGTCTGATACTCCTTCCATTTCAATATAATTGCTTGCACAGTGCTCCTTGAGATGTTTAAAGCTTGGGAAATCTTTTTGTATCCAAATCCGGCTTTAAACTTCTCCACAACAGTATCTCGGACCTGCCTGGTGTGTTCCTTTGTCTTCATGGTTCTCTCTGTGCTTTAAACAGAACCCTGAGACTATCAAAGAGCAGGTGCATTTATACGGAGACTTGATTACACACAGGTGCATTCTATTCATCATCATCAGTCATTTAGGACAACATTGGATCATTCAAAGATCCTCACTGAACTTCTGGACTGAGTTTGCTGCCCTGAAAGTAAAGGGGCCGAATAATATTGCACGCCCCACTTTTCAGTTTTTTATTTGTTAAAAAAGTTTAAATTATCCAACAAATTTCATTCCACTTCACGATTGTGTCCCACTTGTTGTTGATTCATGACGAAAAATTAAAATTTTATATCTTTATGTTTGAAGCCTGAAATATGGCGAAATGTTGAAAGGTTCAAGGGGGCCGAATACTTTCGCAAGGCACTGTATAAAGCACACACAGAAGAAAATGTCCATACATGTTGTAGAATGCTAAAGTGTCCTGATCATCACCAATCCTTTCTGTTGGACACTAACTGTCAAACAAGACCCTCCTGCATCCACAAGGAAAAACTCTTAAAAAACCCAGTGGGAAAAAGTGAGAAACCTTGGGGAGAACTAGGCAAACCCACAGGGAGGGAGACCCATTTGAGAAAGGGTTACGGCTTTCTTTTGAAGTAGATGTAACTTTTCTGTGGCCATGATACATTTGCCCAAAACCTCGATGCAAAAGTTAAAATAAGGAACAATTAGAGTTGTATAAAACAACATCAATGAAGCCTTGTCTAGAATATGTCTGACCTTATACAGTACGTCTGACCTTATACAGTACGTCTGACCTCTGACCTTATACAGTACGTCTGACCCTATACAGTACGTCTGACCGTATACAGTATGTCTGACCTCTGACCTTATACAGTACGTCTGACCTTATACAGTACGTCTGACCGTATACAGTATGTCTGACCTCTGACCTTATACAGTACGTCTGACCTTATACAGTATGTCTGACCTCTGACCTTATACAGTACGTCTGACCTTATACAGTACGTCTGACCTTATACAGTACGTCTGACCGTATACAGTATGTCTGACCTCTGACCTTATACAGTACGTCTGACCTTATCAGTATGTCACCTCTGACCTTATACAGTACGTCTGACCTTATACAATATGCCAATATACTTTTACTTTTTTCAGATGTAGTCAGTATGTGACTTCCAACAGAGTTTATCAAGGATTACCCCCAAAAATGTGACTTCTGAAACACACTCAATGTTTACATTATGAATAATTAATTGGACTGATAATTCTGGGTTTTTTCCCAAAAATTGTTTTTATCCCAGTTTTTATCCCAGTTTAGAAATAATTGATTGTAATCGAACCACTGTTTTAATTTGACCATTTCCCCTTCAATGTTTTCCATTAATTCATTTAGATCCTTCCCTGTATTAAATACTGTGGTATCATCAGCAAATAAGAAAAGATTTAGATCTTTAGAAGCCTCGTAAATTTAATAAATAAATAATATAAAAAGTTTGGGCCCAATTACAGAGCCTTGAGGGATTCCACACAAAACAGATTTACATTCAGAACTATAACTATCATATTGGACAAACTGTCGTCGGTTAAATAACTGTCGAGCCATTTATGGATTTGACCCTAATTCTGTAGTTTTGTAATCTTGCTAACAGTAAGCTGTGACTGCATCAAACGCCTTTACTAAGTCCAAAAAGACGCTTACAAAATATTATTTTTTATCAATAGCCTCAAGTATTTTTTCTGTTACGTAAATGAGTGCAGTAGATGTTGATCTTTGAGATCTGAACCCGTGTTGATAATCAAAGATAAAAATCAAAAATAAATCTAACTTGTGATTAAACCATTTTTCTAATATTTTTTAAAACTGTGGGAGTGAAATGGGTCTAATTGTTAAATTTGTACCGGTCGCCGTTTTTGAAAAAGATATTATCTTAGCGGTCTTCATGTTTTGTGGGAAAACACCTGTTACGGAGAGAAAGGTTAAATATAAAGCTCAAAGGTTTAAGTCGGCATTGTCCTTTTTACAACGCTCATGTCCCGTCACTGTCACTAGAAGTTTTATTTTTGCATTTTCGAACAATGTCCAGAATTTCAGCTTCTGTCATTTCATCAAGAATTCGGCTTCCTCCACCTTTTTTTTGGCTTCTTCTGTGGTTTGAGTTTGAGCTTCTAAGCAACATCAGGCGCGAGCATTAACACTCCTCCGCAATATCTACTCCATTGTTAATTACATTTCCATTCTGCACAAAGTAATCCGGCGGATTTTTATCTGGAGGATTTGGATTCATCACCTTTTTGAGAGTTTTCCAGGTTTCTTTAATATTGCTCTTATTCTCGTTAGTTTTGTAGAAGTCGCATTATACTTGTTCTTATACCCTTTGTACTTAATTTCATGATTTTTAGTTCTATACTTGATGAAGTATCCTTCTGCAACACAGGAGTTATCCTTTTTATCATATCTGTTGCCCTACAACATTTTGGGTGCTATTCTGTTGTAGGGGATAAACCATGTTCGTTAATTGTAAAAACTGCCAGTGAGGCCTTTAATAATGAAACTAAAAAGGTGAACCAGGAAAGATAAAACTTACAGTAAGGGTCCCCATTTCGTTTTGTGGTTCGCCGAGAGACTCACGTGTGAAACACGCGTCTTTTTTTTTTTTTTTTCCCAGTGATGCTGCAATGACCCAAACAACCACCAGGTGGCACTTGTGAGCAGGGTTACATTGGCTTCTCACCCACTCATTCTTCTCTCTTCACCGACAACTCTCTGTGGCTTTATAGCTCAATGTAGGATAAGGAGCTAGACTCTGGTGCGAGAGGACCCGGGTTCAAGTACAGGCTCTGACACTTTTGATTTTGTTGACGTTTACATTTTTTCTAAAACATACTTAGTAATTAGGCCAACACATTTAAAATAGTTGCTAGACTTTAGTAAACTTTTTAGTAACTTTCTTATTACTATTACTATTCATATTCCTGGAAAATTTTCATTTCCTCTATAAATTCATTCATGTCATTGATGGCCTAATAATAGTGTAGTAGCCTACATAGGATAAAATATATGCAGCATAATATGAATTAATACATATTTATATAAATATTGCATTAATTATGAGGCAGGGTGACCAATAGTGACAGATCTGCCAGCCAATCACGAAAGATTATACTTGTTTGAAAGTAGTGATTTCATCCAATGGGGAGTAAGCTTCATCCAATGGGGAGTAAGCTTCATCCAATGGGGAGTAAGCTACCAATGGGGAGTAATCCCACGTGGGCTGGCCACGTGTGATTTTTCAGCCAATCACGAGTTTGAAAGTAGTGGTATCCGCCAATGCTGAATAGTGTTCTGAAGCAGCCCAGCTGCATTCATATGCTAATTAGGGCCATTAGCGCTCGGCCGGCCGCAGTGTTTCGCTGCATTCATATGCAAAGTAGGGCCATTAGCATGGTACGGATGCGGCAGTTTGGAGGACAGGGCACCCTAACTGCCTGAGATACCCGAAAAAGAGCGTGATTTCCTGCCGTTTAGGGTGACGAAAATCTAACTTTTCATGCAGTGCCTTATACTGTAGTCGCTCATACAGACTCCAAACTTTCCAGTCTTGGACGTAACAATATTTAGAAGGTTTTTTCAGAGGGATTTTTTAATAGCCTAGCCTGATTTATTCAGCTTTGAACCCAAAAAAACAGGCGGAATTGTTCGTATGATTGAGGCTGGTTCGATCTACTGGATGTTTGGGTAAGGCAAGCGCACAAGTTAAAGCTGCGTAGGAACTGAACTGTATTGAACTAGATTGACCAGGGCTCGAGTCCACAGGAATGTCGAAAATCCAGTTTATCTTGAAGCACCAGTGAAGCACCCGGTCAAAATGCATGTTTGCTGCTGGCTATCCCATACTGTAGAAGAAGTCAGAAAGGAACTTTTGAGAAGAAGTGTTTTTATTAAGAAATAAGAAGTAAAAATAAGTAATAAAGTAAAATACAATTGTATTGTTACAGTACTTACAATACAGTGCAGTAAGTTAGTACAGTGTTTTACAGAGTCAATCCTTTGACTTTAAACTGCGTTTTGATAGGCCCGAAGTGAGCAACAAACCTCACCGCACGTCACTGGGTGGGGGTGTGGGTGTGGGTGGGGGTGGGGGTTGTGGCACAGTCTTGTTTGTCAAACGGTTGCTATTGTAAAACACACAACTCACACTGAGAGAGGGATTCAGACTGCAGACATCACTTAAGTCCAAACTTTAGCAGGACTTCTCTTGTACTGCTTTTGTAATGAGCTTGATAAACATGTAAAACTTTAAATACAATTGGAATTCAACTCCACAATCAGCACCAACCAAACTGCAGGAATAAAAATGACATTTCCTTTTGACAAGGAAAGAAGATAACAAGCTGATAACGTTACGTAATTGCACACAAGCAACCAAAAGGTGTGCAACCAAAACTGCCTCAGACAAGAATCGAACCCGGATCTCCTGGGTCCTAACCTGCAACGCTAACCATTCGGCCATCATAGTATCACTAGGCAAGACAAGTTTGCACGCAGAGTTATACCTGAGCGTTTAAGTCGCTGGCAGAGCTAAAGCTGACCTAACCTGCCACCTAGTGGCGATAGGATGTAATATGTTTCACGCAGCTGCGCGATTCATGAAAAGCATGAGTGAAGACGACAAAACGAAATGGGACCTACTGTATAACTAAGAATGTCTCCAAAGTCAAAATGTTGAAGAGATGGAGGCGGTGTCTAACTAATAACATGTTGATTGTAAATCTAAATCTAAGTCACATATTAGACATATATCAGACTGAAGACAGTGTTTGGTGCGATGCTCATTGAGTTTTATTTTCCAGCAGCAGTCTGTCCGAGACGACCACAGACATCATCTGTGTCTGTCCGAGACGACCACAGACATCATCTGTGTGTGTCCGAGACGACCACAGACATCATCTGTGTGTGTCCGAGACGACCACAGACATCATCTGTGTCTGTCCGAGACGACCACAGACATCATCTGTGTCTGTCCGAGACGACCACAGACATCATCTGTGTCTGTCCGAGACGACCACAGACATCATCTGTGTGTGTCCGAGACGACCACAGACTCATCTGTGTGTGTCCGAGACGACCACAGACATCATCTGTGTGTGTCCGAGACGACCACAGACATCATCTGTGTGTGTCCGAGACGACCACAGACATCATCTGTGTGTGTCCGAGACGACCACAGACATCATCTGTGTGTGTCCGAGACGACCACAGACATCATCTGTGTCTGTCCGAGACGACCACAGACATCATCTGTGTCTGTCCGAGACGACCACAGACATCATCTGTGTCTGTCCGAGACGACCACAGACATCATCTGTGTGTGTCCGAGACGACCACAGACATCATCTGTGTGTGTCCGAGACGACCACAGACATCATCTGTGTGTGTCCGAGACGACCACAGACATCATCTGTGTGTGTCCGAGACGACCACAGACATCATCTGTGTGTGTCCGAGACGACCACAGACATCATCTGTGTGTGTCCGAGACGACCACAGACATCATCTGTGTCTGTCCGAGACGACCACAGACATCATCTGTGTCTGTCCGAGACGACCACAGACATCATCTGTGTGTGTCCGAGACGACCACAGACATCATCTGTGTGTGTCCGAGACGACCACAGACATCATCTGTGTGTGTCCGAGACGACCACAGACATCATCTGTGTGTGTCCGAGACGACCACAGACATCATCTGTGTCTGTCCGAGACGACCACAGACATCATCTGTGTGTGTCCGAGACGACCACAGACATCATCTGTGTGTGTCCGAGACGACCACAGACATCATCTGTGTGTGTCCGAGACGACCACAGACATCATCTGTGTGTGTCCGAGACGACCACAGACATCATCTGTGTGTGTCCGAGACGACCACAGACATCATCTGTGTGTGTCCGAGACGACCACAGACATCATCTGTGTGTGTCCGAGACGACCACAGACATCATCTGTGTCTGTCCGAGACGACCACAGACATCATCTGTGTCTGTCCGAGACGACCACAGACATCATCTGTGTCTGTCCGAGACGACCACAGACATCATCTGTGTCTGTCCGAGACGACCACAGACATCATCTGTGTCTGTCCGAGACGACCACAGACATCATCTGTGTGTGTCCGAGACGACCACAGACATCATCTGTGTGTGTCCGAGACGACCACAGACATCATCTGTGTCTGTCCGAGACGACCACAGACATCATCTGTGTGTGTCCGAGACGACCACAGACATCATCTGTGTCTGTCCGAGACGACCACAGACATCATCTGTGTGTGTCCGAGACGACCACAGACATCATCTGTGTCTGTCCGAGACGACCACAGACATCATCTGTGTGTGTCCGAGACGACCACAGACATCATCTGTGTCTGTCCGAGACGACCACAGACATCATCTGTGTGTGTCCGAGACGACCACAGACATCATCTGTGTCTGTCCGAGACGACCACAGACATCATCTGTGTGTGTCCGAGACGACCACAGACATCATCTGTGTCTGTCCGAGACGACCACAGACATCATCTGTGTCTGTCCGAGACGACCACAGACATCTGTGTCTGTCCGAGACGACCACAGACATCTGTTTGTGTATTTGTGGGATATGAATTTGGTTTTTATATGTTTATTTTGGGATGATAGTGTGTGTTCTTTGGGGCAAAGGGAATCCAAATCTTTATTTTGAAAATGGTGATAAGTCAAAGACTAGTATCAGATACGGCTACATTCATAATGTGTTATTTTTAATACATTAAAAAAGGGAGGATTGTTGGTATGGATTTTCCCCATTATCTGATGTCCATGTCCCCTCTCCATGGGGGCTGGCTCCTGGCTGACCCCCCCCTGACCCCACAGCAGTATATAGAGAGCTGGGATGGACTAGTTTAGGCTCTTGGTCGGTGTCAACTCTCTAAGCAACATGTAGCAGCCTAATACTGAGGCCCTCCAGGGTTCTCTCTCTCTCTCTGTGTATGATATTTTCTGTTTTGTCTGTGTGTATTTTGTTATAATTCAGTGTCATTAAATGTCCTCTTTTATATCTATTGGTTTGGGCCTAGTCTGTACAGCAACGATTACATTTTCTTGATAACAATCTCCAAAGGTGAGTGAATGACTGACCTTAAATAAGGACTCCAGGTGTTTGCGACGTTGCGGACCCCTGGGGACCTCTGCAGCCGCTCTGTGAGGAGACAGACACACAGAGGGAAAAACAGTTTTTAACCACTTAAAAAGTAGAGATGCCTTTCCATCATAGTTATACCTCAACTTTGATAGAATTGAAACAAGCACCTTATCCGTCTCTCACAGACTGTAACTTAAGACCTCTGTCCACAACCACAGTCCATACACACCTAGGGCTGCAACTAACGACTATTTCAATAGTCGACTAGTCACCGACTATTGAAACGATTAGTCGACTAGTCGGATAATTATGATTTTTTTTCTTATATTTAGCCTGAAGTTGCTTTAGTTAAGTGGCAAATGAAAAACAACACAAAAAGATGGTACTTCAATGAAAAATGCATCTTTTAATCTACTTTGCTGCTGGTTCATTAAAAAGTAAATAAAAAGGTCTTATCTAAGACCAGTTTGGCACAGTGCAGGTCAGTATAGACCAGTTTGGCACAGTGCAGGTCAGTATAGACCAGTTTGGCACAGTGCTGGTCAGTATAGACCAGTTTGGCACAGTGCAGGTCAGTATAGACCAGTTTGGCACAGTGCTGGTCAGTATAGACCAGTTTGGCACAGTGCTGGTCAGTATAGACCAGTTTGGCACAGTGCTGGTCAGTATAGACCAGTTTGGCACAGTGCTGGTCAGTATAGACCAGTTTTGCACAGTGCAGGTCAGTATAGACCAGTTTGGCACAGTGCTGGTCAGTATAGATCAGTTTTGCACAGTGCTGGTCAGTATAGACCTTTGCCCCCTTAGGTACAGGAAAGCATTTTGCGCCCTCCTCCTTACGTCATTTGAGTAAAAAAAAATCTGCTCTCAGCCCAAAAAGTAAAATATTGACTAATTATGCAAAAAAACAACATAAAAAACAAGACCTCGTGGTTGTTTTTTGTAATAGTTATTTATTTTACGTTGAGGCCCTACCAAGATGCATTATGAATCCACGGGAAATTTAGGTACCCAGCTTTAATGTAGTGAGTTTTAGTTTCAGGGCGACAGGAGGAGACACGGGGACACTTCAGAGGCTCACATGGTTCAGCTTCTCACAGCGCTGTGAGAAGCTGAACCATGTGAGCCTCTGACACGGGGACACTTCAGAGGCTCACATGGTTCAGCTTCTCACAGCGCTGTGTTTATCAAGGCCACAGGTTGTACAAGGATCCGCACTTGTCCTGTCCGCGCTGGTCACATGACGCTGGTCACATGATGCTGGTCACATGACGCTGGTCACATGACGCTGGTCACATGACGCTGGTCACATGACGCTGGTCACATGACGCTGGTCACATGACGCTGGTCACATGACGCTGGTCACATGACGCTGGTCACATGACGCTGGTCACATGATGCTGGTCACATGACGCTGGTCACATGATGCTGGTCACATGATGCTGGTCACATGACGCTGGTCACATGACGCTGGTCACATGATGCTGGTCACATGACGCTGGTCACATGACGCTGGTCACATGACGCTGGTCACATGACGCTGGTCACATGATGCTGGTCACATGATAGCTTTGCTTTGGCCGTGTGCTCGCCGCGCTGTTTTCAAAGCAGCTTCACAGAACCGCTGTGTTCACTCCAAAGCGGCCACGCTCCGGGATCATGCTCTCTCTCATGCTTTCTCTTCAAATGTTTGTGCATCACAGAGGAGCTGCCGTGATACGCAATGTCTGCTTTGCAAACCTTGCAAGTACACTTTTTATTTGCTGTATCCAGACTACAATGCTCCCAAACTTTAGAAGTTTTTCTACGCGGAGCTGATTGTTATTATAATAGATTCATGGAGTCGATGGACTCCGCCATTACTGTTTACGTTTCCACTCGATAGGCGCTCTTGCGCAAGTGCGACTCTCGGCAGAGATTGTGAGACGGGGGAGGCCTCACTCTGTTGGAAGAATATGTCTGGCGACAATAGTCGACAATGGAATTCATTGTCGACTATTTCTATTATCAATTTTTGTCGATAATGTCGACTAATTGTTGCAGCCCTACAGCGACCACAACCAAAGATCTGTCAAAGAATACTAGAAACAGTTGGAGACCTGCTCCAGGCTTGGACGACTAAACCTGCAGCAGAACAAGCTGTTAGATGTGAAGAAATCATCTGTGGGAGCAATTCTTTGAAAATGGAATGGACACTGATAATCTCCCTCGATCTGGGGCTCCATCAAGAATTGGGACCAGGTCCAGACTGAAGTTTGTGGAGGATTCTGAGACACAGAAGAAGAGAGCTTCAGTGTTGGAGAGGCCTTCACCACAGGCTGCGTCACGTCCACAAACACACAGATATCATCTACACCTGGTATCTACACCTGGTATCTACACCTGGTATGAGCTCTGTCCATGTCTTCAGGACACTGTGTCTGTGAGCTGCTAATACAAGGAGTGAGACTTAGGGTCAATTTAGTCCCGTTGTGGTAAAGAGGGAGCAGCGTCTGCAGTCAGAGCTGTATCGGACCGTTGTGGTAAAGAGGGAGCAGCGTCTGCAGTCAGAGCTGTATCGGACCGTTGGGGTAAAGAGGGAGCAGCGTTTCAAAACTAATTTGTTTCCCCCAATACCTGTTATAAAAGTACAGACTGTGCTGATATTGTAAGTATAATTCATGAGCTGCTGGAACTCTCACAATATCCTTCATTCGATTTCACGATTTTCACATTTTTCACAAATGGGATTTTTTCAAAGCCCTACGTTTAGCTGAAGGAAGTTGTTTTGCATCCACTCACTGATCTGTTGGATACAGTGAAGGAGTGAGTCCACTGGTCCATGTTCTCCTGCAGTCAGTGAGACATAGATCTGAGTGTCGTCTGCATAGTTGTGATAGTTACTGCATATTATCTGTAATCAAATGCAGAGACTGAACAGAAGAGGTCCCAGGATCGACCCCTGTGGTACTCCACAGGTCAGGGCCTTGTGATCAAAGTACCAGATCGGTGCAGAGTGCACAGTGAGGCGGCCGCTGTATTAGACGGTTGCGGTAAAAAGGGAGCAGCGTCTGCAGTCAGAGCTGTATCAGACCGTTGTGGTAAAGAGGATATCTTCATTCCCTCCCTCACTTATGGTCATGATCTTTAAGTAATGACCAAAAGAACAAGATCGCGGATACATCGAAATGAGCTTCCTCCGCAGAGTGGCTGGGCGCTGCCTTCGGGCGTGTTCACACCGCACTCAACTTTGACTTTGTGGGTGTCAGTTTGGCAATCAAAACTTAACGTCCGCCAAATGAGGCGAAAAGCTACACTTTTCGGCTTCAAAATTCCTTGATGCCAAAGTTGAGAAAAGGTCAGGTTTTCAAGCTTGACGCCGGGCGTCAACCAATCAAGAGACGAGAAGGAGAACCAGCAGCAGCAGGTTTTTCATGGAAAGAAGTAATGTAGCTTCCCGCTTTACCGTTTTGTTGTCATTATTGTTATTAGAAATATTATTTGTATGAGTAGTAATGTTCTTAATATCTAAGTAACACTGGCCTGGGAACGCCTTGGGGTCCCCCCGGACGAGCTGGAGGAAGTGTGTGTGGATAGGGAAGTCTGGGCGTCTCTGCTTAGACTGCTGCCCCCGCGACCCGGCAACGGATGAAGTGAAAGAAAATGGATGTCGGCGTCAGTGTTCAGTCTGATATTGCTTGTTGCCCGATGATGATGAGAGCGGTCTCAGTCTGTGTGGGCTCTAAAGCCAGACTGGAACATATCAAATGAGTTGTTGATAACAAACTTTTTCAAGGACTTTCCCCATGAACGAGCAGATTTGAGATGAGGCCAGTTATGAGGCATCCAAACTCTCTATTTTAGGACGTGCCTGAGGACCGGAGTTTTCAGGGCCTTTGGGAATGTTCCAGAATGAAGGGAAATATTTAATATTTTCTGTTTGAATTATGACGTTGTTACATACAGAGACATCACACTCCATTACCAATCAATGAAAACGGAGTTCACACTTAAACAAAATGGAAACCACAGAATCCTTTATAGACATTTTATATTTATTTTTGAAAAGGTCTTTCCTTGAAATTATGCATTGCAATGTTTTTTTTGTTTGGTTTTGGTTAGTAACTCAGACTTATGATTATCTCCTGGACAGTTTTATCATCTACAGATGCAAAGTGAGTTAGCTCAAAGAGGCTCTCTGGCTGTTGGATTGTTATCTGTGTTGTGGAGTTGGACTTTCTTATGCCTTGAACCTTGTCATTGAAAAACTGTGCAAACTGGTGACATTTAGACTTGGAAGTTAGCTCTGATGACAGCTGAACCTATCAAATGTTGATAACCGTCATCAATCCATTCAGAAAAATGAAGCTTTAGTGTAACTTCAGACTGGTAGACTACCAATGCACCAGGCCCCCTCCTTCCTCAGTCTCACATCAGCTTTGTCAACTCCCCTTCTAGCCACGCTTATCAAGCCAGCGCCTAAATGCAGGACGCCGCACACCAAACAGCCCGTCAAGCCACCTCCACCTAAATGCAGGACACCGCACACCAAACAGCCTGTCAAGCACCTCCACCTCTGGATTTCATTGTACGCTTACATCCACCTCGCCCTGTTGCCACCAGTGCTTAGGCCCCAGGATCATGAACTGCACTCGACCTTCACACAGCAGGGCCGTGCTCCAAACAAATAAACTATAAACAAACTTGCAATCAATACATCTTTTAACTCATCTTGTCTCTTCTAGTCTCTCCAGATTGAAATACTACTGCTGCTGCTCCTGATACTACTGCTGCTGCTCCTGATACTACTGCTGCTGCTCCTGATGCTACTGCTGCTGCTCCTGATGCTACTGCTGCTGCTCCTGATACTACTGCTACTGCTCCTGATACTACTGCTACTGCTCCTGATACTACTGCTGCTGCTCCTGATACTACTGCTCCTGATACTACTGCTCCTGATACTTCTGCTGCTGCTCCTGATACTACTGCTACTGCTCCTGATACTTCTGCTGCTGCTCCTGATACTACTGCTCCTGATACTACTGCTACTGCTCCTGATACTACTGCTACTGATACTACTGCTACTGCTCCTGATACTACTGCTCCTGATACTACTGCTACTGCTCCTGATACTACTGCTGCTGCTCCTGCTCCTGATACTACTGCTGCTGCTCCTGATACTACTGCTACTGCTCCTGATACTACTGCTGCTGCTACTCATACTACTGCTGCTGCTCCTGATACTACTGCTCCCCCCACATCACTGACCAGGCCCGGACCTGCTCAGTCAAAAATGATTGACAGTCTGACTTACCGCTCATATTCTTCCTTTCTAAAGTCCATCATTTGACGTTTGGAGCGTTCACTGGTAAATGATGCCACGATGTTGGTGGTGGGAGGACTCTGCTCTCTCTGGTCCATCCTCAGTCTCTCTGCCGCCGCCCTGCTGGTGGTGGGAGGACTCTGCTCTCTCTGGTCCATTCTCAGTCTCTCTGTCGCCGCCCTGCTGGTGGTGGGAGGACTCTGCTCTCTCTGGTCCATCCTCAGTCTCTCTGCCGCCGCCCTGCTGGTGGTGGGAGGACTCTGCTCTCTCTGGTCCATCCTCAGTCTCTCTCTCGCCGCCCTGCTGGTGGTGGGAGGACTCTGCTCTCTCTGGTCCATCCTCAGTCTCTCTGTCGCCGCCCTGCTGGTGGTGGGAGGACTCTGCTCTCTCTGCTTCATCCTCAGTCTCTCTCTCGCCGCCCTGCTGGTGGTGCGAGGACGGTGCTTTCTCTTGTCCATGCCCAGTCTCTCTGTCGCCGCCCTGCTGGTGGTGGAGGCGATGCTCAGTCCAGACTCCTACACAATGACATCACAGTGTTTAACTCCATAGAAATGTGGACTATTCTACTCTTTCAAACAAAGGGGCCCCTCCCTCTGTCCTGTGTTTATGAAGTGGATACGTCATAAACACAATCATTAACCTGAGATCCCTGGATTCAAATGCAGACAGTTACAGGAAGTGCCTTTTATGGACTTACACCTGTGACCTGGACTTACAACTGTGGCCCTCAGTCTGTGGCCCTCAGTCTGTGGCCCTCAGTCTGTGGCCCTCAGTCTGTGGCCCTCAGTCTGTGGCCCTCAGTCTGTGGCCCTCAGTCTGTGGCCCTCAGTCTGTGGCCCTCAGTCTGTGGCCCTCAGTCTGTGGCCCTCAGTCTGTGGCCCTCAGTCTGTGGCCCTCAGTCTGTGGCCCTCAGTCTGTGTCTCGCTGCTACAGACAGAACAGGAGTGTTGAGGATCTCCTTTTCTTTGAACTCTGTTACAGTCACTTAAGACACCTGTAAATCTGTGGCGAGAATAATGATCATTGATTATAGCTCTGCTTTTAACTGTCCTGTCCCAGGTAAACTGTCCTGTCCCAGGTAAACTGTCCTGTCCCAGGTAAACTGTCCTGTCCCAGGTAAACTGTCCTGTCCCAGGTAAACTGTCCTGTCCCAGGTAAACTGCCTTGTCCCAGGTAAACTGTCCTGTCCCAGGTAAACTGTCCTGTCCCAGGTAAACTCTCCTGTCCCAGGTAAACTGTCCTGTCCCAGGTAAACTGCCTTGTCCCAGGTTAACTCTCCTGTCCCAGGTAAACTCTCCTGTCCCAGGTAAACTCTCCTGTCCCAGGTAAACTGTCCTGTCCCAGGTAAACTGTCCTGTCCCAGGTAAACTGCCTTGTCCCAGGTTAACTCTCCTGTCCCAGGTAAACTGTCCTGTCCCAGGTAAACTCTCCTGTCCCAGGTAAACTGTCCTGTCCCAGGTAAACTCTCCTGTCCCAGGTTAACTCTCCTGTCCCAGGTTAACTCTCCTGTCCCAGGTAAACTCTCCTGTCCCAGGTAAACTCTCCTGTCCCAGGTAAACTCTCCTGTCCCAGGTTAACTCTCCTGTCCCAGGTTAACTCTCCTGTCCCAGGTTAACAGTCCTGTCCCAGGTAAACTGTCCTGTCCCAGGTAAACTGTCCTGTCCCAGGTAAACTGTCCTGTCCCAGGTTAACTCTCCTGTCCCAGGTTAACTCTCCTGTCCCAGGTTAACTGCCTTGTCCCAGGTAAACTGTCCTGTCCCAGGTAAACTGCCTTGTCCCAGGTTAACTCTCCTGTCCCAGGTAAACTCTCCTGTCCCAGGTTAACTCTCCTGTCCCAGGTTAACTGTCCTGTCCCAGGTTAACTGTCCTGTCCCAGGTTAACTCTCCTGTCCCAGGTTAACTGTCCTGTCCCAGGTTAACTCTCCTGTCCCAGGTTAACTGTCCTGTCCCAGGTTAACTCTCCTGTCCCAGGTTAACTCTCCTGTCCCAGGTTAACTCTCCTGTCCCAGGTTAACTGTCCTGTCCCAGGTTAACTCTCCTGTCCCAGGTTAACTGCCCTGTCCCAGGTTAACTCTCCTGTCCCAGGTAAACTGCCCTGTCCCAGGTAAACTGCCTTGTCCCAGGTAAACTGCCCTGTCCCAGGTAAACTCTCCTGTCCCAGGTAAACTCTCCTGTCCCAGGTAAACTGTCCTGTCCCAGGTAAACTCTCCTGTCCCAGGTAAACTCTCCTGTCCCAGGTAAACTGCCTTGTCCCAGGTAAACTGTCCTGTCCCAGGTTAACTCTCCTGTCCCAGGTAAACTGCCCTGTCCCAGGTAAACTCTCCTGTCCCAGGTAAACTCTCCTGTCCCAGGTAAACTCTCCTGTCCCAGGTAAACTGTCCTGTCCCAGGTAAACTCTCCTGTCCCAGGTAAACTGTCCTGTCCCAGGTAAACTGTCCTGTCCCAGGTAAACTGTCCTGTCCCAGGTAAACTCTCCTGTCCCAGGTAAACTGTCCTGTCCCAGGTAAACTCTCCTGTCCCAGGTAAACTGTCCTGTCCCAGGTAAACTGCCCTGTCCCAGGTAAACTGCCCTGTCCCAGGTAAACTCTCCTGTCCCAGGTAAACTGTCCTGTCCCAGGTAAACTGTCCTGTCCCAGGTAAACTCTCCTGTCCCAGGTAAACTCTCCTGTCCCAGGTAAACTGCCTTGTCCCAGGTAAACTGCCTTGTCCCAGGTTAACTCTCCTGTCCCAGGTAAACTGTCCTGTCCCAGGTAAACTGTCCTGTCCCAGGTAAACTGTCCTGTCCCAGGTTAACTCTCCTGTCCCAGGTAAACTGTCCTGTCCCAGGTAAACTCTCCTGTCCCAGGTAAACTGTCCTGTCCCAGGTAAACTGCCCTGTCCCAGGTAAACTCTCCTGTCCCAGGTAAACTGTCCTGTCCCAGGTAAACTCTCCTGTCCCAGGTAAACTGTCCTGTCCCAGGTAAACTCTCCTGTCCCAGGTAAACTGTCCTGTCCCAGGTAAACTGCCTTGTCCCAGGTTAACTCTCCTGTCCCAGGTAAACTGTCCTGTCCCAGGTAAACTGTCCTGTCCCAGGTAAACTGTCCTGTCCCAGGTAAACTCTCCTGTCCCAGGTTAACTGCCTTGTCCCAGGTAAACTCTCCTGTCCCAGGTAAACTGTCCTGTCCCAGGTAAACTCTCCTGTCCCAGGTTAACTCTCCTGTCCCAGGTAAACTCTCCTGTCCCAGGTAAACTGCCTTGTCCCAGGTTAACTCTCCTGTCCCAGGTTAACTGTCCTGTCCCAGGTAAACTGCCTTGTCCCAGGTTAACTCTCCTGTCCCAGGTTAACTGTCCTGTCCCAGGTAAACTCTCCTGTCCCAGGTAAACTCTCCTGTCCCAGGTAAACTGTCCTGTCCCAGGTAAACTGTCCTGTCCCAGGTAAACTGCCTTGTCCCAGGTAAACTGTCCTGTCCCAGGTAAACTCTCCTGTCCCAGGTAAACTGTCCTGTCCCAGGTAAACTGCCTTGTCCCAGGTTAACTCTCCTGTCCCAGGTAAACTCTCCTGTCCCAGGTAAACTCTCCTGTCCCAGGTAAACTGTCCTGTCCCAGGTAAACTGTCCTGTCCCAGGTAAACTGCCTTGTCCCAGGTTAACTCTCCTGTCCCAGGTAAACTGTCCTGTCCCAGGTAAACTCTCCTGTCCCAGGTAAACTGTCCTGTCCCAGGTAAACTCTCCTGTCCCAGGTTAACTCTCCTGTCCCAGGTTAACTCTCCTGTCCCAGGTAAACTCTCCTGTCCCAGGTAAACTCTCCTGTCCCAGGTAAACTCTCCTGTCCCAGGTTAACTCTCCTGTCCCAGGTTAACTCTCCTGTCCCAGGTTAACAGTCCTGTCCCAGGTAAACTGTCCTGTCCCAGGTAAACTGTCCTGTCCCAGGTAAACTGTCCTGTCCCAGGTTAACTCTCCTGTCCCAGGTTAACTCTCCTGTCCCAGGTTAACTGCCTTGTCCCAGGTAAACTGTCCTGTCCCAGGTAAACTGCCTTGTCCCAGGTTAACTCTCCTGTCCCAGGTAAACTCTCCTGTCCCAGGTTAACTCTCCTGTCCCAGGTTAACTGTCCTGTCCCAGGTTAACTGTCCTGTCCCAGGTTAACTCTCCTGTCCCAGGTTAACTGTCCTGTCCCAGGTTAACTCTCCTGTCCCAGGTTAACTGTCCTGTCCCAGGTTAACTCTCCTGTCCCAGGTTAACTCTCCTGTCCCAGGTTAACTCTCCTGTCCCAGGTTAACTGTCCTGTCCCAGGTTAACTCTCCTGTCCCAGGTTAACTGCCCTGTCCCAGGTTAACTCTCCTGTCCCAGGTAAACTGCCCTGTCCCAGGTAAACTGCCTTGTCCCAGGTAAACTGCCCTGTCCCAGGTAAACTCTCCTGTCCCAGGTAAACTCTCCTGTCCCAGGTAAACTCTCCTGTCCCAGGTAAACTGTCCTGTCCCAGGTAAACTGTCCTGTCCCAGGTAAACTGTCCTGTCCCAGGTAAACTGTCCTGTCCCAGGTAAACTGCCCTGTCCCAGGTAAACTCTCCTGTCCCAGGTAAACTGTCCTGTCCCAGGTAAACTGTCCTGTCCCAGGTTAACTCTCCTGTCCCAGGTAAACTGTCCTGTCCCAGGTAAACTGTCCTGTCCCAGGTAAACTCTCCTGTCCCAGGTAAACTCTCCTGTCCCAGGTAAACTCTCCTGTCCCAGGTAAACTGTCCTGTCCCAGGTAAACTGTCCTGTCCCAGGTAAACTGTCCTGTCCCAGGTTAACTCTCCTGTCCCAGGTAAACTCTCCTGTCCCAGGTAAACTGTCCTGTCCCAGGTAAACTGTCCTGTCCCAGGTTAACTCTCCTGTCCCAGGTAAACTGTCCTGTCCCAGGTAAACTGTCCTGTCCCAGGTAAACTGTCCTGTCCCAGGTAAACTGTCCTGTCCCAGGTAAACTGTCCTGTCCCAGGTAAACTGTCCTGTCCCAGGTAAACTGTCCTGTCCCAGGTAAACTGTCCTGTCCCAGGTAAACTGCCTTGTCCCAGGTTAACTGTCCTGTCCCAGGTAAACTGTCTTGTCCCAGGTAAACTGTCTTGTCCCAGGTAAACTCTCCTGTCCCAGGTAAACTGTCCTGTCCCAGGTAAACTGCCTTGTCCCAGGTAAACTGTCCTGTCCCAGGTAAACTGTCCTGTCCCAGGTAAACTGTCCTGTCCCAGGTAAACTGTCCTGTCCCAGGTAAACTGATTGAAAAGCTCATGTCTCTGGGTTTAAGTGTTGCCATGTGTAAATGGATTTTTATCTTTTTAACTGACAGATCTCAGAGACTGTTTTTCTGATGTTGTTTCTGTGAGCACTGGTTCTCCTCAGGGATGTATTTTGAGTCCTCTGCTTTTTACTTTGTACACTCACGATTGTGTGTCCTCCTCTGACTCAAACTTGATCATCAAATATGCTGATGACACCACCATCATCGGTCTCATCAGTGACACTGATGAATCCTCTTATAGAGCAGAGATACAAAATGTGGTTCAGTCAAACTAACAACCTCCAGTTGAACGCATCCAAAACATGTGAACTGGTCACGACTTCAGTCGCAATAGTTCTCATTTGTCTGTCGTAATCGACAACTCCCAGGTGCAGATCGTAGAGGAGCAAGTTTCTGGGTTTAACTCTGTCTAACCTGAAATGGGTTAAAAACACCGAGTCGTTAAGAAAGCTCGTCAGCGTCTCTACTTTCTGCGTAAACTTAGAGAATTTACCACTAACTCTAAGATTGTGCTTAACTTTTATGGCTGCACCATTGAGAGTTTGACCAGAGAGAGACCAGAGAGAGAGAGACAGAGAGAGAGACCAGAGAGAGACCAGAGAGAGACCAGAGAGAGACCAGAGAGAGAGACCAGAGAGAGAGACCAGAGAGAGAGACCAGAGAGAGAGACCAGAGAGAGAGACCAGAGAGAGAGACCAGA